ACATCATAAGAGGGTGACAGAAGAATCTGGAGGATATTTAGCCTGAAGACTAAACTTAAGTGTGATTTAAGAACTCATTGCAGATTCAGATTATTGGAAGGGCCTCGTGTAGACGAGGGAAACGTAGGTGAGGCAGGGGGCAGCTAACATTTACTGAACACTTGTTCAGTGACTACATCTAGCACTGTGCCTGACATTTTATATTTGTTGTTTTGTGTATTGATTGTAGTCTTGCGTGATAAGGAATTTGGTTTTAGCAGAGAATCTGAGGCCCAAAAGTTAAAGTAGCTAGCCTCAGATAATTTTCCAGTGTGTGTCCAAAGACTGAAACACTGGGCTGACTCCAGAAGTCATTCTGGGTAGGAAGTTACAGAAGACAGATTTGGATGCATATTATGAAGACTTTTCTAAAAGGTATGGATTACCTCATGAGGGGTTGTTTCCTGTCATTGGAGGGGTTACGGAGAGACTGGGTTGTCGTTTGGCAGTGGTGTCAGAGAATCAAGTGCTGAGTTTGAGGCTGGTCTTTTTAAATTCTCTAGTTATAGGAGGGCAGGAACAGTTGTTCACTGGCTGTCAAGCATGTCTTGTGCCTGGAGATACGGGGAAAGGGGAAGACAGCAGACAGCGTTAGGGACGTTGTGCCTAACCTTTGTGAGTTCACAGTTTAGTTGTTGCTTTGTGTTCTGTGAAGAGCTCATGGACTCTTGTCATTCCTTTTAGATGGAAGCTTCATTTCTATTCTTCTGAGCTTCTCTTCAGGAGAGTCTGGTTTTTAAACTGCCATAGTCAAAATTTACATGTAAAATTGGTATTTCTGTGAAGAGGCAGTTGCGTGAAAAAGAAATTTAAAAAATAAAGAAAAAATTGACCGTTATTAGAGTTTGTCCTTGGGTTGCCTTTTGAGGGGCTAGGAGTTGAGAATGGTTTTGACTGGATTGGTCGAGAGGCTGCAGTGGAGACTGGATAACGCCTCCACTGTCTCTGACCCAGTTTACCTAAACAAGGACTTATGTCATCAAAGACACAGTATGTGTACTTGGCTGGTGTGCCTTGTTTGCTGGATTTGCACCTCCGTGTTGTTTCTAGCCTGGTAAGTAAGAGATGTAATAGGAAGGAGAGAATTTGGGCTTCTGTGTGAGAAAGGATTAAAGAAAGACAAGCTGGAGAAGACATGACCAAAATACTAATGTGTGGATAGAGGTCAACAGCACTGACTCATCCACCAGTTAGGAATCAGATTTGCAGGCTGATGCTTCAAAGAGGTCATTTTAGAGTAGGTAAGATAATCTCTACACAATGATGTCAGATTTCTTGTCCTCAGTATATAGTACTGGTAGAGAAAAGAAGTGATTTGAGAGTGTTGATATATTTTAGGAAATGGCAGGGATAGAAAATTGTCTAAGCTCTGGAGGGAGTGGTAGAAATGTCGGTTGAGAAGACAGCTTCAATGTATCATTAAAAAAAAAATTTTTGAGTCAGGGTCTTAACTATCACCCAGGCTGGAGTACTACAGTGGTGCCATCACGGCTCACTGTCTCCAACTCCTGGGCTCAGGGTATCCTCCTGCATCAGCCTCCCGAGTAGCTGGGGCTACAGTGGCAGGCCTCTACACCCAGCTAGCTTTTTTAGTTTTTGTAGAGATGAGGTCTCACTATGTTGACATGGCTGGTCTGAAACCCCTGGCCTCAAGCGTTCCTCCTGCCTTGGCCTTCCAAAGTGCTGGGATTACAGGCGTGAGCCACCCCGTGCCTGTTGAGATTTTTCTTTTTCAAATAAAGCAAAGTGCAGAAAGAAAGATAAACTTTTATATTAAAGAAAAGAGGACATAATTAGGGAAACGTCCAGGGTAGATACTCTCGTGAATGGCAGGTTCACTGAGTGGTAATACAGGAAGCCTTGAGGTTGAGAGCATTGTGTCTTCCCCTAAGTGCCAAATTGATTGTATGTAACATTCTTCCACCTTTTAGGGAATGACTTTGGTTTCAATCTATTCCATTTAGGAAATATAATTAAATAATAATATATTAAAATGAGATCTTCTGAGGGATTTTTAAATTGGTCCAGTAATTGATTTCTTTCTGAGCAGACCAATTGGAAAAATAGTCCTTTTTTTTTTTTAAACACTTTTATATTCAGGATAGTGGTTACTCATAATGGGCAGGGACAGGTAGGAGGAGGGTAGAGTTTATTGGTAATGTTTTATCTTGGTGGGGTGGGCTCAACTTCCCAGCACTTTGGGAGACTGATTGCTTGAGGCCAGGAGTTTGAAACCAGCATGGGCAACATAGGGACACCTCATCTCTATAAAAACATCAGTCAGTCAACTGGATGGTGGGTTCATGGGAATTTTTTTTACATTGTTCTTCATACTTTTCTGTAGGCTTTAAATATTGTATAATAAAATAATTTTTACAACTTTTCATTACATAAAATATTCAATTACATATACCCTTTACCTCGATTCAGCAGTTTTTGCCATTTTGCCATTTGGGGTTTTATCTCTCTGTATCTCTGTATTTTTCTATACTTACATTTTTCCCTAAATTATTTGAAAAGAAGTTGCAGATATCATGACACTTCATCCCTATATATCCCAGCATTCCTAAGAAGGAGTGAGTATTCTTCCGTGTATCAGTTACCATGTCCATACTTGAGACAGCAATAATTCTGTTATGTTAATCTAGTACCCTGTATCTGTGTTCACATTTTTCCAATTGTTCCTAATATCTCTCCTACAGCAGTTTTCTATCATAGAATGCAGGCTAACATCATCCTGCAAATCCTCAGTTTCAATCACATTTTCCACTGCTTTCTGATCCTAACCTTTGGAGAGCCCAGGCCCACGCAGTTTCTGTGGCCTTTCCATTTTGCCTTTGCCTCCTGATTTCTAAGGGTGGACTGGAATGAGCATCTTAAGTATGTCTTGCGGTTTATTATTGTCTAAGTGTTTGTGAGTAAAACTTGTTATAGTTTAAAAGTATCTCTAAATTTGGTGTTTACGTGTCATTTAGAGCTCTTTCTGCTTTTTTGTTCTTCAGTTATACTTAAGAATTTAATGATGGGTCCGTTGTGGTGGCTTATGCTTGTAATCCTAGTGGTTTGGGAGCCCAAGGCAGGAGGACGCTTAAGGCCAGGCCAGTCTGGACAACATAGTGAGAACCTGTGTCTACAAAAAATAAAAAAAATTAGCTAGGCTTGGTGCTGTGTACTGGAGGCTTGAGACTCAAGAGGCTCAAGAGACTCAAGAGGCTGGGGCAGAAGGATCTCCAGGAATTTGAGGCTGTAGTGAACGATGATTGTGCTGCTGCACTCCAGCCTGGGTGATGGAGTGAAACCCCATCGTCTCTTAAATAAATAAATCAATAAAAATAATTTAATGATGATAATGCACATTTGATTTTTGAGTTCTACCTAGGCAGAATCTCATTTGTTAACTCTGCTTAAGAGAGTATTGGTTTACACAGTCAGACTGATTTATTTTAAACTTAGTGGCATGTAATGAATGTTTACCCATAGAAAAGATAGCATAAGCAATTCAAATGAAATTCCAAGGGCTGAATTAGTAGTGGCAAAGGACCGAATTTATTTTTTGAACTTGATGGTATGTAACCTAAGGGGAATCTCGTGGTTACTTTATATATATTTAAATCAGTTCCTTTCTTTAAACTCTGACATAATTTTTTATTGGCAGGGTACTCCGTGTGTTATATTTTCCTAAAAGTCTTCATAATAAAGAAAAAATGGCAGGTTATTTAAAGTAGCCTTAGAGAGATCTACTTTTCTTAAAAAAGTTGTTAAGCTTTCATGGTAGAATGGTGCTTTCAGATTAGTCTGTAAGGGGAAAAAAACCCTATGTTTAATAGCTTTCCTTTTCTTTTTTTTTTTTTTTTTGAGTTGGAGTCTCACTCTGTCGCCCAGACTGAAGTGCACTGGCTGCTCCCGGCCACCGCAGCCTCGACCTGCTGGACTCTGGCGATCCTTCCGCCTCAACCTTCCAAGTAGCTGGAACTACAGGCGTGCGCTACCACGCCTGGCTAATTTTTTTTTATCGTAGAGATGAAGTCTCGCCAAGTTGCCCAGGCGGGTCTCGAACCCACGGGCTCAGGTGATCCACTCACCTTGGCCTCTCAAAGCGCTGAGATTACAGGCTGAACCACCGAGTTTGGCCATAGCTTCTCTTTTCTAACATGGGTGTTCATGGAAGTCATTTCTGAAGTTGATGGGAGAGGAGCGCCTGGTGGCATTTGGAAATGGAATTGTTTGTCTTACTAGAACTTGAATAAGTTATTTGCATTTTTCAAGTATTTCTTACAGATACTATACTACGTTTTAAAATAAACTTTAAGGGCAACCCCTTCGGGTCCCCTTCCACTGTTGGAGCTTTTCTGTATTCAGAAAAAGCCTGCTTTCAAAAAAAATAAAATAAAATAAACGTTAAGACCACACTCTCATATATTGAAACATCCTGCCTGGCATACTCAGAGATACACAATATTCCATTAGATGCCCAGGAGAGCTTACATTTTTTTGAGTATTCCTTGGCTATCAGCAAAGATTTCTTGTATGGGTTTAAGTTGTCATGTGTACTAAATGAGTAACTTCAACCAAGGACAAAAGGTGATATAAATCTCCTACATTACGGGCAGAATAAATTTATAATCTTTATAGTAAGAAAAGAATTTTAATTGAGACTTTCTGTTCACTTAAATTACTTGAGCTTTTGATTTTATGAAAGTAAAACTATGAAATTGTAAGTATTAAATATACTTCCAATTATAGCATGACCTGTGTATCTGTTGAAATTTTTTTGTTGAGGTTTCCTTGAAGTTGAAATAAGTTGTTAAATAATGTTTTTGTGTTTCTCATTGAGATAGAATGCTTCCAGCTTGTGAATTGCAATTTGGCTGGGTTTTTTGTTTTTGTTTTAAAATATTTGCTTTGATGTAGTGTTCAATTTAGTAAAAGATACAATTTAGACTCCTAAAGTTTTTAACCAGAAATTATTTTCTCTTGCTAGGAGGCAGGTGGAAGTCATCATAAAGTTTCTGTTTCGCCCGTTGTCCATGTTCGAGGACTCTGTGAATCTGTGGTGGAAGCTGATCTTGTGGAGGCTCTGGAAAAATTCGGGACAATATGGTGAGGACAACTGGGGTTTCGTGCGATTGAAAACAGTGTGGCGGAACATGCCTTGCTAGCTGGCTTGCCACAAGCCTTGGTGTTTGGCATGGTATATATTGTTTGCCTGTGACTGTGTTTCTCTGGAACCTCTTAAGCCTGTTATTTTTAACCTTCCTGGGTGATGCACGGGTATATTTTTGTGGCTCTTGATAACCTCTTGCTCCCTATCAAAGTTGAGTATGAAATTATGTGCATTTTCCGCCTGATTTCCAGCTGGGCCCATGGTTCCTGCTCAAACACTGCTTCAGACCCGTGAGTTGATTACGCCCTTTGTCTTCAGTGTCTCCACACTGATTTGATGTTTTTGTTTATTTTGGAATATTTAGGACTTCATTGACAACTAAAGAGAGTACATTAAGGGTAGACATTAGCTTAGGTTTTTCCCTCTGCCTCTCTCCACCGTCATCCTCAACACAGGAGGACATCTGCGAACGAATGCGGGGGTTTCTCCCCACACACCAGGCAGCGGACACCAGCTGGGTATCCTCCAATTCAGCTCCAGCACTGGATAGTGTCAGATTCCACAGGGTGAGGGCTCAGACCCATAGGACTGTTCCCCCTAGACATCAGTCACAAGTTTCTGTCACCGACCAGTTTCAAGATGAGGTTCCCACCGCTCTCTCTTTGGGCTCGATTAATTTGTGGGAGCGGCTCACAGAACTCAGGGAAACCTCATTACTGGTTTATTATAAAAGAGATTGCAAAGGATGCAACGAAGAAACGCGTGGGGCGCGGTGTGGGGAAGGGGTGTGGAGCTCCCTGCCCTCCCAAGTGCCCCTCTCATGAGGCTCCCTGAACCCAGTTCTCTTGGGTTTTTATGGAAGCTACATGATGGCAGAAGCTTTTCCCCTTGGGCATAGAGCGGGACCCTCTCTGGGGAGGATCAGCTGTGGGGGAGTCAGAGTCCTGCCTTGAGGCAGGTGAAAGGAGGGCAGGAAAAGGTCAGAGAGCTTCTGTTTCTGAGGCCTGCCCCACCCCCACAACATTGCCATAAAAGATGGACAAGGGCTGTGGGCGATGAACACCATTATCTGTAGCGCAGCACCAAGGTGTGTGCTACTTTGAGTTCTCGATGCAGGTCATGAGCAGTTTTTATCCCAGGTTCTCTGTATTCTCTCAGGCTCCCCTTTCCTTTTCCCACAGCTCTTCTATGCTTAAGAATATTAATTTAGACCAGGCTCGCAGGCCCAGCCTGTAATCCCGTGCCTTTGGGAGGCTGAGGTGAGTGGATTGCCTGAGTCCGCGGGTTCAAGACGTGCCTAGGCAACTTGGCGAGACCTCATCTCTACAAGAAATCAAAAAATCAGCCGGGCGTGGTAGCGCATGCCTGTAATTCTGGCTACTTGGAAGACTGAGGCGGAAGGATTGCCGGAGCCCAGCAGGTCGAGGCTGCGGTGGCCGGGAGTGGCTACTGCACTCCAGTCTGGGCGACAGGGTGAGACTCCAACTCAAAAAAAAAAAAAAAAATTAGTAAAGATTTTTTAATCTGCGGAGTTAAAGCATTGACACAACCATGCCCCCATGCCCCTTAGCCTTTTTGTTTCTTTATCCTTTTCTCTCTTTGGTCTTCATTCTTTCTCTTAATGCTTTTTTTTTTCTTAAACTCCTGAGCTCAAGCGATCCTCCCACCTTAACCTTCTGAGTAGCTGGAACAACAGGCACACGCCACCATGCCTGGTTTCATATGAAGGCTGTTGGAATTATAGATGTGAGCCACTGCTCCTGTTCCAACTTTTCTACAGCATTTATTGTAGAGATGAGGTCTCAATTTGTTGCCCAGGCTGGTCTCAAACTCCTGTCCTCCTGCCTCAGCCTCCCAAAGTGCTGGCATTACATGCATGAGCCACCGTGCCTGGTTACTTCTTTAAATTTGAATGATTTGGGTAGAGAGAGCTAACAAGCCTCCTAGACCAACAGATATTGACTAGCTGCTATGTGCCAGCATCTGTTTCTAGCTTCTGAGGATATAAAGATAATGAGGCAAGGTCTATAGAAAACCCAGTAATACTTTCCTTCTAGTGAGGGCCTAAAATGTGCAAGACTCTGCTTGGCAGTTTGTATGCAGTAACTCAAATCTTGACAACAGTTCTCCAAGTTTTACAGATGAGGAAGCTGAAATTCGTAAGAACAATAATTGATTAGGCTGTAAGGTGACCCGTTTCTTCTTCTTCTTTTTTTTTTTTTTTTTGAGTTGGAGTCTTACTCTGTCGCCCAGACTGGAGTGCAGTGGCCACTCCCGGCCACCGCAGCCTTGACCTGCTGGACTCCGGCGATCCTTCCGCCTCAACCTTCCGAGTAGCTGGAAATACAGGCATGCGCTACCACGCCCAGCTACGTATGGGGGTTTCTTTTCTTTTCTTTTCTTTTTTTTTGAGTTGGAGTCTCACTCTGTCGCCCAGACTGGAGTGCAGTGGCTGCTCCCGGCCACCGCAGCCTCGACCTGCTGGGCTCCGGCGATCCTTCTGCCTCAGCCTTCCAAGTAGCTGGAACTACAGGTGTGCTCTACCATGCCTAGCTCGTGACCTGTTTCTTACTAGTCCTGCACCATTTGTCAGTTTCTAAAATGTAACAGTAGGTCCTGGATGCCTGATTGAGAAGCATTTATATCACTGGGTGCCTGACCTGATGTGATTTCTCGAGCCTTCTGCTATTATAAAAACCATTTAATTGTATTTTAAAACTTTTTTTTTTTTTGAGTTGGAGTCTCACTCTGTAGCCCAGACTGGAGTGCAGTGGCATGCTCCCGGCCACCGCAGCCTCAACCTGCTGGACGACTCCAGCGATCCTTCCGCCTCAGCCTTCCAAGTAGTTGGAACTCCAGGCGTGCGCTATCATGCCTGGCTAATTTTTGATTTATTGTAGAGAAGAGGTCTTGCCAGGTTGCCCAGGCGGGTCTTGAACCCGTGGGCTCAGCCAGTCCACTCGTCTCGGCCTCGCAAAGTGCTGGGATTATAGGCTGAGCCACCGAGTCCAGCCAGATTTTAAAACATTTTTAACATTCTTGTTCCTGTGACTAGAGGACATGTTATTTCCTGTGTTGTGATCTGTGTGCTGTGATTCCTCTTTCTCCTTTTATTTATTTATTTTCACCTCATGTATTAAAATATATTCCCTCTAAGAAGAGTATACCATTTGTTTTTGGTTTTAGCTACTTTGTTTCTCTAGTGACTAGTATACTATGGAAAAGTAAACACCTTACCCTCCTGACCACCGGCAATCGTGATTGCCATATCTAGTGAATAACTTTCCATGGATTCTTTAATATTAATTTAAAGATGTTTTGGAGGAGGTTATTTGTATAAACTTTGGTCAGTCTGTGGAGCATCTATTTATTTTTTGGTTCTCTGTTTTTAACGAGATAAATAAAAATATAATCAGTTTTTAGTTTTTAGTATGGACATCTATTACTTGGAAAATTCCAGAGAGGTAGTAGTTTCTGCTATTTAGTAGGTATTCTGTCTGCCAGCCTTCTGTGGAGGCTTCTCTCTGTTGGTTTCTGTATCCTGATATTTTCTAACACTGCATGGGAGTAGCAGCCTGAAGCATGCACTGGGTTGTGACATTAGTAACTGGTAACTGGGAATTGTATTTGAGGAGGGTATGAAGTGGATAAGCTTAGTCGCAAGATAAGCTCTCAAATGTGTGTCGCCTACTAGTATACCACAATTACTTGGAAAATTTAGGAGCTGTCTTACACTGGATATAGATAGAATACTAATCTGAATGATTTAACACATTTTTATTAAAGTCTGTTTTTACTTGATTGAGAACAAATCGTATTAATTGAACATGTTCTATTTGTGTATTTCTTCTCGGTTGCCCGTTTCAGCTATGTGATGATGATGCCATTTAAACGGCAGGCTCTAGTGGAATTTGAAAACGTAGATAGTGCCAAAGAATGTGTGACATTTGCTGCAGATGAACCTGTGTACATTGCTGGTCAACAGGCTTTTTTCAACTATTCTACAAGCAAAAGAATCACTCGGCCAGGAAACACTGATGACCCGTCAGGAGGCAACAAAGTTCTTCTGCTGTCCATTCAGAATCCTCTTTATCCAATTACAGTGGTATGTTTTACCAGGACAAAGTGGTATGTTTTAGCATGCACCACTACACCTGGCTAATGTTTTGATTTATTGTAGAGATGAGGAATCGCCAAGTTGCCCAGACTAGTCTTGAACCCGTGGGCTCAGGCAATTCTCTTACCTTGGCCACCCAAAGGGCTGGGATTATAGGCATGAGCCACTGTGCCCAATCTGTAGAATTTTTAAAAAGGATTCATGTCCTGAACCGGTTGAGTTTTCTTTCTACTCACATGCTATTTCATAGTAAGCTAGTAACAAGGACACTTGATTTTTGTGATGGATAGAAGAGTATCCCAGTAAGGGAAGATAGAAGAGTATCCCAGTAAGGGAAGTTTTTGTTGGTATGATATCTAATGGGGATATGATACTGGGAGATAAAGCATAAGGTATTTCTTAGATTTAATTAGATCTTTGGCATCTACTTTTGTAATATGTATAGACTTATTAATAGTATTAAGATATTTATAATAGTTGGTATTTTGGGGAAAATATATAACTAATCTAGTATAGGTACTCTGATGTGTTTTTTGTTACATCCCTAGTGTGTAACAGTTTAGCTGTATAATTACAGATGCTTAAGAAATTTCTTGGCCAGGTGCAGTGGCTCAAGCCTATAATCCCAGCACTTTGGGAGGCCAAGGCTAGGGGATTACCTGAGCCTCAGGGGTTCGAGGTCAGCCTGGACAACTTGTTAATACCTCGTCTCTACAGTAAATCAAGAAATAAGCTGGACATGGTAGCGTGTGCCTGTAGTTCCAGCTACTTGGAAGGCTAAGGTAGAAAGATCACACCAGAGCCTAGCAGGTCGAGGTTGAGGTGGCTGTGAGCATGCCACTGCACTCCAGCCTGGGCGACAGAGTGAGACTCTGACTCTAAAAAAAAAAAAAAGAAAAGAAAAGAAAAGAAATTTCTTGGTAGTTGAGTAATTACTCTCAAGTGGATATTTAGAGTCCCTCTTAGATGACTGAGGCATCTTATTTGGTGACATCTAACTGTCTGAATGATCTTCCGTAGATCTTTTCTCTTATAGCCATTGTCCCTTGAAAAATGAGTATCAGAGTTATTCTAATACTTTTCCTTATTACATACTTATTGCTATAACTCAAGTGATTATGATACTAAACATTTCAGGGTCACATTTAGTAAAAATTAATTATAGTTCTGGGTTATTAATTATGCATTGTCAGAGGTTATTTTAGTCATGTTAAAATAAAAATTGAGGATTCGTTTAGGAGAAAAATAGGTAACAGTGCTTCTTCACATCTCTAATGTGGGCATATGTATAGGAGGTGGAAATAACTTTAGATTTATTGAAATGTAACAACTTAAAAATTAGTTTAGTGATGAATAGAAATGACATTTTGACAGTTATTGGTTTTTAGGTAAAACAAAATGAAGTGTAGATTTGCTGTTTTTCTAAATGTGAAATGTGAAGCAATCTTGTTTTTTTCTTCATAGGATGTCTTATACACTGTATGCAATCCCGTTGGAAAAGTGCAGCGTATTGTTATTTTCAAGAGGAATGGAATACAAGCGATGGTTGAATATCCTTTATTTGTGAGATTGTTATTGATGTGCATGAATGATACATAATTCATATGGATCTTATTTTTTCCTGCTTAAATATATATATTTTTTTTTTACTTTTTTTTTTATTTTAAAGATGTGGGGTACAATTCAGGGTTAGGTATGCAAATGTTCATTATGCAGGTACCCTTGCTGATGAGATGTGCCCCTCTCTTCCCTGGCAGTTTCTCTCAACTGCCAAGCCCATTCCCCCTCCCCTGGCAGTTTCCTACTACTGCCAATTCTTTTCTTATAGTATTATGATAATTGTTCAAAGTCTGCTTATGAGTGAGAACATACGGTACTCTGTTCTTTATTTCTGTGATAGATCACTGAGTATGATTGACTCTAAATCCATCCAAGTTGCTGCGAAGTCCATATGTTTGTCCTTCTTTATGGCTGCATAATATTCCATTGTGTATAATATGTACCACATTTTTTTAATCCACTTCAACTTCAGTGGGCAGCATGGTTGGTTCCATGTTTGTGCTATTGTGAATAGAGTTGCAACAAACATGCGTGTGCAGGTATCTTTTTTTGTAGAGTGAGTTCCTCTGGGTATGTTCCCAATCCTGCTGGGTTATATGGAAGGTCAGTTTCTAGTTCTTTCAGAAATTGCCACATTGTCTTCTAAAGAGGCTGCACTAGTTTGCATTACCACCAACAGTTTAGAGTTTTTCTCCGCATCCACGTCAGCATATGTTATTTGTTTTGTTAATGATGGCCAGTCTTACTGGGGTTAGATGGCATCTCAGTGTGGTTTTGATTTGGATTTCTCTGATGATTAGTGAAGCTGAGCCCTTTTTCATGTGTCTGTTGGCTGCCTGTGTATCTTCTTTTGAGAAGTGTCTATTCATGTCTTTTGCCCACTTTTGAAAGGGGCTTTGTTTTTTTTTTCCTTTTGGCAAGTTTGATTTCCTTGTAGATTCTAGATGTTAGACTTATGTCAGATATACAGTTGGCAAATATTTTTTCCCATTCTGTGGGCTGTCTCCCTGCTTAAATATTTCTAGGCAAGTGGTGGTTACTTTCTTCCACAAAAATCTTCGCTTAGTTTTTAAAGAATGAAACTGCAGTACACATAGAGAGTTTTACTATTTCTGATGAGAATAACTTGCTACCACAAAACAGACCAGTGTTTCATCTTAAAGTGTAAAATAACACTATTTGATGATATGTACACTTGTATCTTTAGAATTTATCCCAAATGAACTTTTCTGACTCCCCTTTAAAATAGTTTGGAAGTAACAAAACTTTAGAGTCAGTAGATTTTTTGTTAACCTTTTTTTGCTGAACCTTTTAAATTTTATTTATTTTTATTTTTTATTTTTGTAGAGACAAGGTCCCGCTATGTTGCCTAGGCTGGTCTCAAACTCCTGGGCTCAAGCAATCCTCCCACCTCGTCCTCCCAAAGTGCTGGGATTACAGGTATGAGCTACTGCACCTGATCTGACACAGAACCTTTTAAATGGACATGGTTTATATAAGACTTACTTCTCTATATTAAACTTGTTATATGTTGTAAAACAAGCAAGCTACAAAATAGTACAGATAGTACCAGCCCATCTTAAAAACATATATATTAATAAAGAAAAAACCCTAACTGAATGTGTACATGCATAGGAAGAGGTAAGGATGTAAGCAGACTCTTTAGCCATGCTTATTCCTGGCAAGGTGTTTTTTGTTTGTTTGTTTTTTAAATTGGAAAATTTTGGAATTTGATTCTTAAAAAAATTATGGATATAAATGATTTTTTAAAAACTAACAAAATTTAGATAGCTGAATGATCCTATAACCTTGCCTTCTCAGAAATATATAAAAATCATGTTTGTTTTGTATTATTTTGGTTCTTTGTGAAGTTCATCCTACTTCAAGAGTAGAATCTTTTTTGTTTCGGGGTTGTGAGTTGTCCCTTTGCCAGGAAAAGGGACTGTGCTCCGTTATCCTTCCTGCCCCCCCCTTCTATGAAGTACTTCTGGTGACGTACAAGGAATAATGTGGATAGTTTGGCTGTAGTGTCCTCTTTGGTGCTCTGATTTTAAAAATATATTCTCTACTAGAATTCATCTAGAAGTTTTATTTGGTAAAACATTTCCAGAAGTAAGAACTACCTGATTATTTTCAGTCCTGTTCTTTGGGAATGGGAGATGATTAAACGTCAGAGACCTCATACCCAGTTTCCTTAATAGAGCTTATGTTTGAATCAATCCTTTGCGCCCAGAAAGCTAAAGCAGCACTCAATGGAGCAGATATATATGCTGGATGTTGCACACTCAAAATTGAATACGCAAGGGTAAATATTTGTTCAACGCTTTGTCAAAGACCTCTGTATGTTTTGGGTATGCCGTTTGAACGTGACTTTCTTTTCCATCTTAACAGCCAACTCGTCTGAATGTCATTAGGAATGACAACGACAGTTGGGACTACACTAAACCATACTTGGGAAGACGAGGTAGGTATTTTCTGCATTTTGGAATGTACTTCATAATCTGCTGACACATTTTTACGTGCAGTTAGATTCCTGTTTCCTGAGACGAGCTAGTTAATTCAAACGAAAACCTTGTTGGTGAATGCTCTTGTTGCAAAAGGCCATGTAATGCTGGAAAATAACCTTGACTCTTAGTGCCCCCTACTGGTATGTTCTGAGCTATTGCTATTTAGTTCAACAAGGAGCCCACACATACAGGCACGCCCGCAGTTCAAGGACTTGCATTTCTCCAAGCAGCTCTCTCTCTTTGGAGGAGAGGAAACTGATTCAGAATATTCCTTACAAACTGCAAACTTGCACACTGCTTCTCTATGGAAAGGACCTTTCCCCCAAGCTGGACGAGGCATTAAGAAGGATAGAGGACTCCAGCAGGCTGACTCTACACTTCATCATGCACCACATCGGCATCAGCAAAAGCCCTCTGAAAACTCAGACTCGCAACTCACCTTGACTGCATACTGCATGCACCATCACCCCACGTTTGCAAAGGAAGACACTTACCAGTACTTCAGACTTGCATGGGATCAGCACCATGATAGACTGTGCCCATTCATTCAAATTGTATGTATATATTGGTCTGATTTCCCATAAGGTTTCAGCTGTAGAAGTTACGACTTTCACTCACGGAAACCAGACTTTGTCTGCAACGTTGTAAATCTTAATGGCCGTTACTGTAACTGTTTGCAGCTTAGATTCAAATTGTTAATTGGCAAATAACCAGGACCAGTCTACCAACAGGTCTTGGGAATTGGTAACACTCAACCAATCCACACAGATGTTAAAAATAAAAGAATTAGAAAGGTGCACCCTTGCTGCACTTCAGTTTGCTTTTTTATTTCATTTTTTTCTCAATTGTGAACATTGAACAGAAATTCTAACATAATGAAAAGGTGCATTATATGTAAAAGATGTTTTTCTGTGTGGTTTGATTTTTGTAAAGTGGCTGTTTATAAGTTGTCACTTTTTGTAACTAAGGTTATCACTTATGTTAATTTGTGTACTTAGAAAACTTGACATTTCAAATGTAGGTGACAGCAACATGTGTTCAAGGTAGAATATATTTCAACTTGATAAATCTGAAAATACGAGCATTTCATTTGAGATGCTTTTTCACCTATAAATGCTAGATTTCATGAGCTTAAATTTGATAAAATTGTTCAACTAATTGTGTGGCAATTCTGGAATATACAAATTAAAAATGTGGATCTTGTAAAAACAAGGGGGCTGCAGTATTGGCTACATTTCAACTACAATATCAGTGTTTGAGTCATGGGTTATAAGATGTACAAGCTCAAGAGAAGTATGTCTGTAAAAGTCAATGACTAGAAAAACATTTGGTGGCATCCCAAATATCTTGGGCAGTGGCTACTCTTTAATGCATGTACTCTAGCAAAAAAAAAGTAAGAGGTGATGTGATGATCCTTTGCATGGTCAAATATTTAGGACTTGTGGATGATTGGCTCCTTACACTCTCAATTCCCAGAAAGCCTCTTGCCTTCTGCATGAAGTTGCAACTAGGTTTGTTCTATAATGCAGCCTTGGCTAGACCCATGCTTTCCATTCCTTTTGGAATCTGCTTGCCCCCAGGCTTGGAGCAGTGACTCCCTTAGCACTGAAACAACAGGACAAGTGGTAGATGAGAAATCTCTCACTTCTTTCAATTTTACAATCAGTCATTGCCCACTCGGGTTTGTATTTGAAATAGTGAGTGTGGTTTGTATTTGAGTTTGTATTTGAAATAGTGAGCGTTTTTCTTGATGTCTCTTACAACTTTTATAGATATGCTTCTTATTTTAACAATGTTTAAATCTATTATTTTAATAAGTCTGAGGTTTACACAACTTAGGTTAGTTCTTCATACAATTCTAGTCAGATAAATTTAGAAATATGTAAGAGTGATATTTAAATAGTGAAATATAATGAAAGAAAGTAAAACAATTTCAGTCGATTATACTTTCAAAGAACAAAATTCTTGTTTTCGAATTCCTTATAGATGGATATTTGTCTAGCAAGACAGTAGCAGCTTACATTTTTGTTCCTGTAGTGGTCTTAGCTTGCTCTTAAGTTGATGGATATTGAAACTGTGTTTAGTTGCTATCCGCAAATAAAGATCTTCATAAATTTTTTTACCCCCCCAAAAACGATCTCTTTTAAAAATATAACTTCATTTTAAAAGTCCTTTTCAGCCCTAATTACATTTTAGTGGAAAGAATCCTTAGTCTAAACTTCAAGGAATCCCTCCAGAAATGTTAAGCAAAACTTGTGTATAGGTGCATCTTTTGGGTAGAGAAGGTATATAACTTCCATCAGATTTCAGTTGAATCTATGAAAGTTTGCAAACCATTGTTTGGATACTGGCATTTCAGTATTTGACTTTTCTGCTCGCTTCTGTTTTATTTGATTTTATATTAAGTAGTGAATGCTTCACACAAAGTGAATGATTGTTATTATTTTTCTTTGAGTAAGGCTTTTGCTCTGTCATCCAGGATGGAGTGCAGTAGCAAGATCATGCCTCACTGCAACCTTGACTCCTGGGCTCAGGTGATCCTTTTGCCTCAGCCTCTTGAGTAGCTGGGACTACAGGTGCATGCCACCATGCCCTGATAATTTTCAAATTTTTTTGTAGCGACAAGGTCTCACTATGTTGCCCAGGTTAGTCTTGAACTCCTGGGTTTAAGCAATCTTGCCTCAGCTTCCCAAAGTGCTGGGATAACAGGCGTGAGTCTCCACACTCTGCTAAAGTGAATGATTAATGAGAATGGCTGAAAGACACCTTAAAGATGAAATCTACTCTGACTTCTTCATTTATGAATGAAGATTGTGAGTTTCTGTGACTATACAGCAAACTAATGGTTAAGTTGGAGTCATCTAATTCCCAATCTAGTTCTCTTTTCTTTGTAGCACACTGTTAACTGTATTGATAAAACTGAGTCAGGAAGACATTATGGTGGTTTTGGTTTTATTATTCCAAGTCAGATAAGGAATTGTATTTAGTGTCTGGTGGCATATGCTTAAGCAGAGGCACATTAACAGAATGGTTTGGCAGACTGGATTGGTCCAAGAGGGTGAGACTTACATGCTGAGAGCTGCTGGAAGCCATGTAATGGAAGGAACTGTGAATGTTTAGACAGAAAAGAAATGACTTTTGGGAAATAAGGGGAGGGTCATACTAACTTTTCAAGCATTTGGAAGAGTTTTTAGACCAAGACTTAAGTGTGATGCCCCAAACGGGTAGAATATGGGTAGAGGGTCAATTTCTGTATAGCATAGAAATTAATTTGCTTACAATAGAGGACCACCTGGAAATATAAGGGAAGGTAGTATGTACCTTGTGACTGGTTTTAGGTGAGCAGAGGCTAGGTAGTCCCAGTTGATAGGAATAATGTCAAGGGAACTTTTTCACTGATCCTGTTCCATGCTATGATAATTTGGAATAGGTGATTAAAACTAGACTTCTCTAGACTGAAGTGAAAATTAAAGTATTTCTCATCTCCCATGAACGTCATTTGTTTAGATGACTAAGGATGTATGGAAAGCCTTTCTGAATTTTCAAAGATTGGAATGACCAGATTCTTAAGATACATATTTTAAAAAATCTTATTGAGCACTATGATTTGATCAGCAGACTTTCCAAAAAAAGTGTCGTATAATGATTTTTTAAATTTACTAACCATCATAGGAAGTGCTACTTTAGAAACCTGTAATTTTTATTGATGTCTCAAATTAGATTTGGGAAAATTGGCATGCCTTTCCCAAAAACGTAGCTAGAATAAAAATTACCCTGTAGAGTATTGTAGTATTCTCATCCAATAATGTAGCCTCCTTGGTTAGCTTTATCTTGGCATCTTTAAACTTTGGGGGTTGCTCAGTCCTGCCTGGTGTTAAGGTCAATAGATGATGACCTATCCATGATATAACGTGAGCCAGTGGTGTGCACATTTTCAGCTCTCAAGTCAGTAGGTGTTTGTAAAAATGTGTATATACTTATAAAATACTCTGTGTTTACTGATTGTGAAACCATGTAATACAGGTTGTTGTTGGCTTATGCTGAAACTTCTTGAAAGAAGCCCACTTTGAAAATGTGTTGCAGTTGAAGCTAATAGTATGATTCAGGTACTGTCTTTCAAAAGTACTGCACTTAAAGCTTGTTTTAAAGACATGCATTGGTAAAGACTTCTGTACAGTGTCAAACTCTAGCATCGTGTACACTCATTTTCTGACAAGTATCCATTCTTCCCTTAAAGTTGAAAGTGTGATTGTATGTGGCATTTGCCAAAAAGATATTTTCAAGTTGAGTGGAATTTGTTAGCTAGAATTATTTTTTTAAAACTTTTGATGTTGTATTTAAATTGGACATGAATGGATGTTTAAAGTTAACCAGGAATCATATTTCTTTTATGAATTGTTGTAATGGATGTTTTGAATGGGTGTTTCCCATGTGAGAACTCTGTTAAGTACTTGGGTCACAATTGTTAAAACCATGTTTCTACTTTTGTGTCAGATAGAGGAAAGGGTCGCCAGAGACAAGCCATTTTGGGAGAACACCCTTCTTCGTTTAGACATGATGGCTATGGTAAGTTTGTCAAGGCAGAAGGAAGGTAGTACAGATGAACTGTTAGACTTGCATTTCTGATGAAGAATGGCACATTTTTTGTCTCTGTATTTTTCCTGCTCACCTGACTTGCTTTATAGGGGATCAGTTCCTTATAACGTACTCCCAAGGAGTTGTCCAAAATCTCTTGTTTCTTAGGATATTGCTAAATCAAAGAATCCTTGAGATAAATGAGAGCTGTTGGTTGGGGATTGAAAACTTCTTTGGCATTATCTTTTGTTTTGGTTTTGATTTGTAATGGGCTCTGACCTATAAGAGACCCAGAAAGAAGCTTTATTGCTCAGTAAGTGTATTTTTCATTCCAGCAGTTATTGGGCAAAGAGAAGTTTTGGGTAATTAAGGCAGAAAGAGTGGAGTGTTTGTCAGAAAGGATTCATGCTTCTAGTTAGCCTCTTAACCTCTTTTATTTCTGTAGTTAGTATTTTGGCTTTGATTAAATTGTTCATATTCTCCTTTTAAATCTTTTCAGCTTTTACTGTTTACTACATTGGCAAGTTAAGATTATGAAACCTAGAATAATAATCTTCCCTGGGAAAAAGTTGGATATCAGACTCTTGTTCTTGTAGGCATGTTGAGAATTGCTATTGATAAGACTTGTAACAGCCTACCAATTAAGATATTTTTTAGTTTTTAATGGTATTTATTGACCCCATTCAACTTTGTGTTGAAGTTCAATACTATTAGAATTGGCAGAAAGTTGAAGTTGCTGTATGGCCGTCTTGGGGTTTATCATAGAAATCCCCAGTGTTGACTTTTTTTTTTTTTTTTTTTTGAGTTGGAGTCTCACTTGGTCGCCCAGACTGGAGTGCAGTGGCCGCTCCTGGCCACCGCAGCCTCGCCTGCTGGGCTCCGGCGATCCTTCCGCCTCAGCCTTCCAAGTAGCTGGAACTACAGGCGCGCGCTACCACGCCTGGCTGATTTTTGATTTATTGTAGAGACGAGGTCTCGTCAAGTTGCCCAGGCGGGTCTTGAACCCGTGGGCTCAGGCAGTCCACTCACTTCAGCCTCCCAAGGCACGGGATTACAGGCTGAGCCACCGAGCCGGGCCCCAGTGTTGCCTTTTATCCTAAATGTTTCAAATTGCCTTCATATTCACCACTTTAATGGCCATTCTTAGCTGTGAGTTTTAGCTTTTTTCCAGTGTCTTGTTTTTGAACTCCAGGAATTTATTCTGCATGTGTGCGTGTGTGTGTGTGTTCAAGCTTCCATAGTAATCTTGATGTGATCTCCATGTTATGTCAAGACACTAAGTGGTGTAGAATGAAAATCTTACTGCAGTTGTTTTAGTGAGTATGTACCTTGATTATTTTTCTTCGTTGTTCCTGTAACAGAGTAAATATGAAGTATGGTTGTACAAGTAGTTCTGAACCTACAGATAAGAGGCACTTACTGGGAACTTATTGTGCTTTGTGTAGTGGAGGATTACAAAAGATGACTAATTACGAGTTTGCAGTAGAGTTCTGGAGTTAAATGTGTTATGGCAGCCATCTGAAGGCTAAAGCTTGCTAAATATTTTGCCAAAGGAGACTAGAAAAACCTAATAAAGAATAAATGAAGGACAAGTTACTCTACTGTAGTAGTTGAAACAGATGATATTCTTAGCATGGAGTTTGCCTCTATTTATAAAATATATGTTACTTAAAAATTGTATAAACAAAATGTTCTACACCCTACAGTGATGTTTTACTTTTAAAAAGCAGATCCTTTGGTAGTCGTGGGGTTGTGTGGGGTGTCCATTCTGAGCTGTGCCCACTAAGATGTTTGACTCAGGGTTAATTCATTCCGCTTTCCTAGGAAAGTAAGTTGAGTAGGGTGTAGGAGGAGGGAGTGAATCAAAGGAGGTGGAGAAGTAAGATGAGAATATGGGGGAAACGCAAAAAAGACAGGGGTGTTGCTGGTGATCTGAGCCTTTTTACAAATACTGCAAATCACAACTATATATATCCCTTCAGATCAGTGGTTTAGCAAAACAGCTTTATTTGCAGTTGGGGGTTACATTGTGGGTGACTTTTCCTATGTGAAGGAGGGAATTAAAAAGTTCATTATGGTTCAGGACCCATAGATTCCATCAGATTGAATTTATTCATTGGCTTATAGCAGTATAAAATCTTTGCGGATAATCACAGTTCTTTAAATCTTTTAATTTGGGAAACCCAACCCTATGAAATGAACTGGTTGAATATATATATTGGTTGAATATCCTTTATATTTGAACACTGGCAAAAATGAATATATAGACTTCTTGCTGTGAGCTCAAGAAAAGTGTGTTTATTAATTGCTAGCATCTTTGGATATGGTTTCTGGACCAAAGATTTTAAAGTTTGAGAGATGGGGAATGCATTCAGAATGTTAATATACCATTTACATAGCATTTTCCCATGTAAGTGAATTTTTAAAATACCTGAAGTATTTGTTTTTTAATCACCCAGACTTTTTGCATCATCAATTTACTACAGATAGCTTTTAAAAGACTTCTGATTTTTCTTATCTTAATATAATAATTCAAATAGTATAGATAACAGTTTCATCCTGCTGGCCCAAAGTCATAATTACAAACAATCAGTTATTCTCTTGCACTGTTTTGGTTGTTACCTAGGGCGGTGGGTGTCAAAGTATTTGGACCTCAGCCAGCGTAAGGCAGGGTGAAAATTTCCACTGCCCACCTACCTCGTGTTTCTCTATGTGAAAAGAAAATGTAATGGTAATAGTGGTCTCATTACAGTGCAAGCACTTAGTAGTCGGGGGAGCAGTGTAACATGTATATGTGCTTTTGCAATAGGAATAAGAGTGTATTTGGTGTGTGTATAACAGTCAATATCAGAGACTGAAATACGTATAGTTACTAACAACTCACTCATAATGAGTTATATTGGTTGTTTTGGTAAACTCCCAGTTGCCAGTAAGAAGAGCAGTTAAAAACCATGACCAATTTGAGGAAACACTGATGATGATTAATCAAAGTATGCCTCCCTAAAACCACAGAAGTTCACACCGTGTGTTTGTGTGCGCATGCCTGTTGGTGGTGTTGCTGTGTTATGAGTGGCAGCTGCATTTGGAATCGTGAAAATTGGAGTCCACGGCAAGCTTTCAGAGCATGGCATGAAACCAAAATGCAGTAGTTCTTAGTACCTCACTTAGTAGATAGACGACAGGTGTCCCTTAGGCCATGAAAATGAAAGTCAGTGACATGGCAGACTCTTTACTTCTTGAGAAATGAAGACAAGACTTGGGTTTTGTGCACCAGGAGGACCTTTGCCTGCGCCCCAGACTATGCTTTTGTAACCCCTGACTCAGGAGCCCTTAAGTGGGGGATTTGTGTCTCAAAGCTGCATTTCCCTCCCAGTTGCTGCTTCCGAGTTCCTCTGCTTCGCGGTGTTGCTGTGGGTGTCCCTGTGCCTGCTTTTAGCATCACGGTTTCTCCTTACTCGCCCATGTCTTTCGATCCCACACTCCAGTTTTATTTTTTGTTACTTCTGTCGTGGATTAAAAAAACAGATAAATTAACATTGTTTAAAACGACTCTAAAGTTAACTTGATTCTGAATGAGGATTCTCAGTGTCAGAGGCGTAGATGTGTGTGTGTGTGTATGCATGTTTCTGTTTTAGATTCTCAGGCATTTCCTTCTGGGTTCTTGATACTGTTTCAAAAATGGAGGTTGCAGAGTAATAAGACACCCATGTGTGGATAGGCATTAACTAAACCTGGGGTGTTAGTTTCCCTAATTAGAATTAGGGGAATAGGATACCAACCTGAAAGTACATTATGGTAAAATAGATTCAAGGAGACAACTTTTCAGTGGAACTAAAGGTGTTCTTTTTGTTCTGTCTATATAGAGGTAGCTTCCTAGAGTTCACTGCATGTTTTAATATATTACTGCTTCAAAAGGCATTGGCAGGAAGTTTCTTTTTTTTTTTTTTAATTTGAGGTATAATTTATATGCAGTAGCCCAAAATGTTACATTTTCCTGCCCTCCTCGACCTTTTTTGTTAGACTGCCATTTTTAAAAACTGTCCATTCATAGCCTGATGTATGCAGGTATAGTTCAATATAAGATCTGGTACAAGTAAATATAATTTCCCATAGGTTATATTTAGATATTCATGCATTTATGTTTTCTTTGTATATCAAACCAGCTAATGTTAAGATTTTTTGGGGGGTGTGGTGAGGTATATCTACTAAAGTATTTGCAAACAGAAATGTGTGTGTGTGGCTATTTATTGATTGATTTTGATCATTTGTATAGGATCCCACGGCCCATTACTGCCTTTACCGAGTCGTTACAGAATGGGCTCCCGAGATACGCCTGAGCTGGTTGCCTACCCATTACCACAGGCTTCCTCCTCTTACATGCATGGAGGAAACCCCTCCGGTTCCGTTGTCATGGTCAGTGGATTACATCAACTGAAGATGAATTGTTCAAGAGTCTTCAACCTATTCTGCTTATATGGAAATATTGAAAAGGTAAGTTTCATTTTATATTACTTTTTGTTTTACTGGGTGATGCAGTAGGAATTCTGAAAAAGCTGCAAGGATGAGTCTTCTCCTTATATCAGGCACATCCACGTTCCTTGTGTAGTGACCCACAAAAAATCCCTTATATAGGAATTCCAGAGGTGGTTTTTTTGTTGGTAAGCAGTGAGTATGGGTTGTTAGTACTAAAATATTTGATAATTAATATAAAAGGAAATCTAAAAGGGTAGTTTAATCAACTGCTAGAGTATTATAGAATTTATAGATTATTTGTAGTATATATTTTGGTGATCATTTCAAACATGTTGAACTTTAGAATTTAACATGCTGACCTTTAGAATTTGAAAGCAGTTACTTTCATGGAGTTAAGGGTATATATAAACATGTCTCAGAGCTTGTCTGGAAGTTGTAAATTTCAGGAGCATTCTAAGATTTATACATGTGCCTCCTAAATACTAGGGTTCTAGTATCTTCTGAAGTACAAAGTGCTTTTGGCTCAATCAGTATTTGAAACTGATCTACTTTGATACATGTGTCCAGAACTTTCTGCCCAGAGGTTTACATACTTTGAAGGACTTTAGAAATTCTAACTTTGTTTTTTCCAGATAACTCTGTGGTTTACCCAAAGTTGTGACATTTTATTCATTGACATCTCACAAATACCTAGAATAGTGCCTGGCATACAGTAGTAGCTAAGTGATTTTTGAAAGAATCATGGGCAATTTAACTAGGGAACTGAATGGTAGCCTTAACGTTACCAGTGTTTGATACACTTGGCAATTTGAATTTCAGTACTATAGGAATGTTTTTTTCCTGTTTTAGGTGATTTTAGTGTTGTTTTCACAACAGTAAGAAAAACAAGCATGTGAGTTACAAGTGTGTTGGTGCATTCAGTTTTTAGTTCATCACTTCTAAAGCCTCCTTGACTGAGAAAGCAACTCCTCTGAATTCTGAAATAAGTATTTCCTCAACTGTTGGATCATGGTTACAAAAAAAAAAAAAAAGAATAAAAAGAAAAAAACTCTATGTTTGGTCAGGGGGCTAACATTTGGGATGTTTCTGTTTATATAGCTGGCCAGTAATACACAGGCTAGGCTTAGTAAGATGGGGAGATATGGTTCAGATTATCTTCACACAGACATTTCTCTTGGACCCAGGTGTTTAGTTAAAGTGTAGAAACTGCCTGTTTGATAACTAAGTGAGCTTTAGTGTTTATTTTAACTTTCTTTACAGAATGTTACTTGTCTTTTTGTGCTTTTCACATATGTAGATGATAAATCAGGCCTTTTAATTAACGTCTTTAGAGCTTTGTCTTTTGTGTTTTGAACTAATTGTTTCATGTGATTTAGGAACCCAGGTAATTTTTTCTAATAAAGCTTAAGTTTTTTGTATGTTATTAGACTAATTCTAGTTTCTTTCACTCTAAAAAGTTTTTATTTTTTAATTTATTTTTTGAGACAGAGTCTTGTACTGTTGCTTAGGCTAGACCATAGTTCATTGCAGTCTTGAACTCTTGGGTTTGAATAATACTCCTGAGTAGTTACGGATACAGGTGTGCACCACCACACCTGGCTGATTTTTTAATTTTTTGAGGAGATGGGATCTCACTGTTTCCCAGACTGGTCCAACTCCTGGCCTCAAGTGATCCTCCTGCCTCAGCCTCCCAAATTGCTGGGATTACAGGCATGAACCAGTGTACCCAAAAGTTTTTAAACATTTTAAATGATGTTATAATACATTAAACACAAACCATTGTAACCCTTTAAAGATCTATTTGTGGTTAATTTTTCTTAACTTTCTTTTGAAGATTACAATCTCCAGATACAAGAACTACATATAATCTCAGAACAGTCTCCAAATACAAAAACTACAAGAGTACAGTGCCAGAAGTACATATTTAACATGTATATATAGTCACTATTAGATTTGTAGACTGTTATTGGATTAAATCAAGGAGGAGGAATTTGACCCATAAGAAGACAAGTCATTTCAAATAAAGCTGAAAAATCCTGCCACGACTGAGTTTTGTTCAAGTGTACCCATTAAAACTGGTAGTTAAAGTGATAGAAATAAATGCCGTGTTGCATTTGACCTGTAAATACGTTCTTAGTGTTCCTTTGAGGGTAATAGATGAGAAGGAAGCGTGTTCAGGGGGCATGTATGTTGACGGTGCGGTAGTCCTGTGCATAGTCACGCTTTCTGTGACTTCAGTCATCTGTGTTATCTGTTCCAAAAATAGGTGAGTGTGGTACAGTGTGATACGTTGAAAGAGAGAGAGAGCACGTTCACATGCCTTTATTTACAGTCTGTCATTGTAATTGCTCTGTTATTAGTTGATAATTTCTTATTGTGCCTGATTTATAAATTAAACTTTATCACAGGTATGTATGTGTAGGAAAAAGCATACTGTATAGAAGGTTTGGAACTGTCTTCAGTTTCAGGCATCCCCTGGGGGTCTTGGAATGTATCCCTCAAAGAGAAAAGGGAGCTACTGTGGCAATAGCTGTTTAGGGACTTGCCAAGGGCTAGCCACTATGCTGAATGATTACCATACTTTGTTTCATCTAACTCTTACAACATTTTATGCTAAAATTAGAGTAGTCCAAGCGGGTCAGAATAGGCTCTGCCCAAGATATCATGACCACTCGTGAAGTATTGCTTGTTTTTTAACCTTTCCCTATATCACACAAGCCTTCCTATCTCAAGATCTTTTTGAATTCTTTCGTTCTATTTTTTTTTTTTTTGAGTTGGAATCTCAATCTGTCGCCTGGACTGGAGTGTAGTGGCCGCTCCCGGCCACCACAGCCTCGACCTGCTGGGCTCCAGCGATCCTTCCGCCTCAGCTTTCCAAGTAGCCGGAACTACAGGCACGCGCTACCACGCCCGGCTAATTTTTTGATTTCTTGTAGAGATGAGGTCTTGCCAAGTTGCTTAGGCAGGTCTCGAACCCGTGGGCTCAGGCAATTCACTCACCTCGGCCTCCCAAAGTGCTGGGATTACAGGTGTGAGCCACCGTGCCTATCCTGTTTTATATTATTTCTTATATTGCATATTGATACTGCCTTAACAGAATTCTGCATAGTTTGTAATTACTGTTTGTTCTTTTTAAATTTTTGACCTAGTTACTAGACTATTAGGTTCAGCCGGGCTCGGTGGCTCAGCCTGTAATCCCAGCGCTTTGGGAGGCCGAGGTGAGTGGATTGCCTGAGCCTGCAGGTTTGAGACCCGCCTGGGCCGCTTGGCGAGACCTCATCTCTACAATAAATCAAAAATTAGCTGGGGGAGATAGTGCGTGCCTGTAGTTCTGGCTACTTGGAAGGCTGAGGCGGAAGGATCGCCGGAGCCCAGCAGGTCGAGGCTGCGGTGGCCGGGAGCGGCCACTGCACTCCAGTCTGGGCGACAGAGTGAGACTCCAACTCAAAAAAAAAAAAAAAAGAATATTAGGTTCAAGATGATGTCTGTTACATTCATCAATAAATCCCCAGTACCTAGCATAGTACTTATCAAAGCATAGTAGACACCTAGTAAATATTTGTTGAATGAATAATTATTAATGAGTCTTGCCAGATGTTGTCATTGTCTACATTTTACAGGGACAATCTGTGGCTCAAAGAAGTTTAGAAAACTGCCCCCAAATCACACAATTAATAAGTAACAGAGCTAGGATAAGCCTGTGCTGTTCTTCATTGTGCTATACAGTAGAATTAGTTTTCTTTTTTTTAACTGTTGAATTTGGAATTAAGAGTGTTTTCATAACATGGCAGAACATAGTTAAGATTCCAGGTGATCATCTGTATTTGACTTTAACCACACCACTGAGATCACATTGTCTTTCAGAAATTCTGGTACTGCAGAAGGGAATTAAATGATCACCTTTTTGGAATTTTTGTATTTACAGGTAAAATTTATGAAGACCATTCCTGGTACTGCACTGGTGGAGATGGGTGATGAGTATGCTGTAGAAAGAGCTGTCACACACCTTAATAATGTTAAATTATTTGGGAAAAGACTTAATGTTTGGTAATTACTTCACTGATACATTTAAAAAATCTTTGTCCTTTTTATTAGATAAAGACATTAATGTCAACATCATAATATTTAATGTAACCTAGGGCACATCTGAAACTGGCTGCGTAGTTTTGTCATTTTGGACAAATGTTAGGGTATATCATTCAAATTTTGCTTATTTATACCTAGTTTTTAGTTTTATGATTATCAAATGTGTTAAAATGGGCAAATTTTTATGTTAAAGTTTTCTAATATGAGAACATATTCAAAAGATTTTTTTTCTAATTGATGCCTAAACTATAAGCGATTAATTGTAACCCAAAGGTGGGCTTGGTGGCTCAACCTGTAGTCCCAGCGCTTTGCTGAGGTGAGTGGATTGCCTGAGCCCGCGGGTTCGAGACCCGCCTGGGCCACTTGGCGAGACCTCAACTCTACAATAAATAATAAAAAATGAGCCAAGCGTGGTAGCGTGCGCCTGTAGTTCCAGCTACTCGGAAGACTGAGGCGGAAGGATCGCCGGAGCCCAGCAGATCGAGGCTGTGATGGCCGGGAGCGGCTACTGCACTCCAGTCTGGGCGACAGAGTGAGACTCTGACTCAAAAAAAAAAAAAAAAAAAAAAAAATTGCAATTCAGACGACATCCTGTATTTAAATAGCTGCGTATGCCTTTGTTGTGGTCATTCATCCATGCTCAATAGGCTAGCAACTGCGACTGACCACCTGCTGCCGCTTTTTATCTAACAAGGTATGTTCTGTGTGCTTTTCCAATCTTCAGTGTCTCTAAACAACATTCAGTTGTTCCAAGTCAAATATTTGAGCTGGAGGATGGTACAAGTAGCTACAAAGATTTTGCAATGAGCAAAAATAATCGCTTCACAAGTGCTGGCCAAGCCTCCAAGAATATAATCCAGCCACCGTCGTGTGTTTTGCATTATTATAATGTTCCACTGTGTGTCACAGAAGAGACCTTCACAAAGGTAGGCACTTTGTATCTAGAATGTTGCATTTTCTGTCTTAACATATATAAATTAGGCTCATTTTGAAGTCTTCTCTGCCTATGATATTATTAGTATTCTGTTATTTATTTGGAACATTACAGTTTATCCTTGGATCATTGCACTTTTCTGGCATCCATTCTTTTGGGTTTTTTACTTTTTTTTTTTTTAAGAAAGTGGGATTTATTGAGAGAATAGAAAAGCTCCCACAGTGGGAGGGGACCTGAGGGGGTTGCCTTTGTTGATCTTTTGATGGTTTGTGACTCAATTCTTTTGAGAGTTGGAATTGGAATGAGATACTCTTGCATTCATAAAGTTATTTTGCCATGTTCTTAAATCACACCCATAACAACACTTTATATCTCCTTACCTTTTTCCCTGAGGAAATGCTAAGTAGAGGCTGTAAGAAATGCTTCAGAAAAGAATTGAGTTTTTGGACTCCCTGCCTTAATTAGTAGATAAATCCTGTTTGGCTCTGAGGATATATATTTTAGTTAACAAATCTGTGACTCTGTGGTTTTATTGTATAGCACTAAGGTTTTTACATAGTTTATAGAATTTTACTATTTTGAATTGATTTTCTCATACAGCTTGCTATTAATCCAAAAACATAGTAGATTTGATTCATCCATGCTGGAATCAAAACTTACATGCTGCTGTGAAATTTACTTTCTACAAAAATAGTGGGAATGTTATTTTGGCCGTATCTTCAATGAAGTTTTATTTTCTTTGGCAGTTGTGTAATGACCATGAAGTTCTTACATTCATCAAATATAAAGTGTTTGATGCAAAACGTAAGTGAACAGTCCCTCTAAAGTTTTCTGGTTAAGATGATGACAAACACATGACAACTGGGCTTGTGGTTTTTGTTTTGTTTTAGCTTCAGCCAAGACACTCTCTGGGCTGTTGGAATGGGAGTGCAAGACGGATGCTGTCGAAGCCCTTACAGCACTTAATCACTATCAGATAAGAGTCCCAAGTGAGTAAAATGCTTTATTTTGTCATAATTATCTAGTGGAAGTTACACTCAGAAATTTGACCATAATTTTATTTTATTTTATTTATTTATTCTCTTTTTGTGTGTTACAGAGGGGATCTGTAACGGGAAAAAAGAAAAAGAGAGAGAGAGAGAGAGAGAGAGAGTAAGAGAGAGAGAGGAAGTGGGAGAGAGGCGGGCAGAGAGCTGCAGGGAGGGAGAGAGCAACAGAGAGAGACAGAAAGAGAGACCGAGAGAGCATTTTTTTATTTTATTTTATTCTTTTGAGTTGGAGACTCATTCCGTCGCGCAGGCTCGCATGTGGTGGCACGCTCACAGCCACCCCAGTGTCAACCTGCTGGGCTCTGGCGATCCTTTTGCCTCAACCTTCCAAATTGCCTGAACTACAGGTGCACGCTACCACTCCCAGCTAACTTTTTTATTTATTGTAGAGACGAGGTCTCACCAAGTTGCCTGGACTGGTCTCGAACCCACGGGCTCAGGCAATCCACTCACCTTGGCCTCCCAAAGTACTGGGTTTACAGGCTGAGCCACCGAGCCCAACCCATAATTTTAAAATAACACTTACTAGATTATTTTTTTAAGTACAGAGAAGTACAAAGAAAAAAAAAAGGCATCTTAATACCTGTATTTGTTATTTATTGTGGGGTATAACAAATCACTATAAAATTAAGCATCTGAAAGCAGCAGGCATTTATTCTCTTACTGTTTCTGAGGGTCCATAATCTGTGTGCAGTTCACCCATAGTCTGGGTGGTTCTGGCTGGCTCAGGCTCTCCTGTGAGGTTGCAGTCAGGTCTGCAGCCAAACCAAGTGTGTCGGCCTTCTCCTGGCTGCTGGCTTCCCTCAGAGCATGATCCCGAGGTAGTGTTATATACCTAATTGGAAGTCACATAACATCACTCAGGTTGTGGGTTTTTGGTCCCACAGATCAACTATGGTAGCGTGCAGGGGGTGCTGTGCAGGGGTGGGCGTGTTCAAGGGGGAACCCTGGGCCATCTTGGGGGCCAGCTTCCGCAGGCCCTGTCACTCATTTTGGGGAAGGCAGTACACGCTTGGGGCTGGAAAGCTCAGGCAGTGCATCTCTACAGCTTCTGCCACCTCCGGCCCTTCTCGGCTCATCCTTCTCCTCCCTAGTGCTTGTACGATTGACATCTCCATTTTGAAGGCATACACCAAATGGGTCCTCTCTACATACTCCTCTGTGCCTTGCTATTTTCGCTTAGTATGTCTTGGAGCCATTTCCGTATTGAACATTTTGCAAAGCTTTTTTTTCAGCATTTGCAGGCTAGCTCTTCATAGTAGAGAGGATCACAGTTTATCTTATTCACCCATCTCCACATTGATGAGCATGCTGGTTGTTTCTGTTTGTGCTTTCTGTTGCAAGAAACATCCTTATAGTTGCACTTTTTAGTGTGCATTGGTAGGGCAGTCTTTCCACAGTGGAGGGCACAAAGGTGTATACTTTGGTAAAATGTTGCTAGATTGTATTTTGGAAAAGGCTGTACCAGTTTACATTACCATCTGTAGTGTTTAAAAATGCCCATTGGCCAACACTCACCAACAATGTTCTCAGGCATTCCAATTTTACCAACATAATAGAAGAAAAGTGGTATTCCATTGTTTTAATGGACCATGCTAATTCAAGGTGATTTTGAACATTGGATGAAGTGAACTGTTAACTTTGCTTTTTGCTGCAGATGGTTCCAATCCCTATACATTGAAGCTTTGCTTTTCGACATCATCCCATTTATAAGAAGAGACGGGCATGTTGGAGTTTATCTTCATGTTTCTTACGATTTTAAAGCTACACTTCATTAAAAATAACTAAATGGTTGATCTCATGTTGCCTTGCTTATTACTTTAAGATCCTGTTCTGTAATAAACATATTTTGCCTTGAGTAAATTTGTTGTAAACTTAAATATTGAATTGTTTTCATTTTAAGATAGAATATCCTAATGTAGACTATCTACACCTTTATTGTAGATTTAAAAAATATATGATTTCTAACCTTATTACTGTAATTTTTCTTCCATAGTAAAACTATATTTGCATTCTTAACGCTAATTATCTGCAAGTATTTTTCCATTGTGTATGAGATTAACACAGGTGAAAGTATTGCATTTTAATATAGAATGCCTATTATGTGTTTAGGTGTTTAAGTATGTTGCAGTTACTCATATTAAACATAACTTGTATTTATTATTTTAATCCAGTTTGAGAATAACATTGCATATGTTGAATCTCAAGTACTACAGATACAGCTGATTTTGTATTTCCTAAAGGCTAACAGACATATGGATACACTTGTACAGATGCACTCCAGCTTATTTAAATTGGTGTTTTTTTTGAAGTCATTGTCCATTTGTATTGACACGCCTCTGTTTCTAGTTCCAGTTTGGAGGTTTTATAAAGTTATAACAATGAGTTAATGTGTTTATCTTCGTTGCATGTGACTTAACCTCGAAAATACATCTAGTGTTTGGCATTGAGATTTTAATAGAGGTTATGGTTAACAGTTCTCTTGGAGATGGTAACCTGGGATCCATGGGTGGGCTTCAGAGCATCTGTGAACTCTCTAAAATTGTATGTAGCATTTTGGGTATTTGCATTTTTATTTTTTACTCTTGGATCCATCAGTAATATATGTATTTTTCTATATGGTGCAAGATTTAAGGATCTAACTTTATTTTTATTCCAAACAGATAGCTATTTGTCTCAATACCATTTATTAAACATTCTTTCTCCCACTGGATCTGTTTTTTTTTCTTTTTAAAAGAATACATTTCATACATAATCAAGTAAGATTTAAGGACTAAACAGGGTATTAAGAGACTATAACACAGTTGTTACCAAGTTCACAGCTTTTTAATAGTAGAAAACTGAAGTGGCTATTTTGTTTTACCTTTAAAAGAAGGGAGACTGTGTCATGTGCCGAGAATAACCTTGATGTCTGGAGTTGACAGTCATCAGTTGTGTGATCTTGAGACTTTTAAAGAGATTTGCAAATGAAAGTCTTGGTTTCACATTTTAATGTAAAAAAAATCCTTAATCCTTTTAGAAATGAGGGCAGAAGTTTAAAAAGTTAAGAGCTGTTGAGTAGAAAGTTTAGATAGAAACTAAACACACATTAATACTTATTTCCCCTTGAATTTTGATGACAGTGGACCTGTGTTTCTTTAGCCCTCTAAAGATCTAGAAAAACCTAAATTCAACCTAGAAATATTTCAGACCATTGTCGTGAAACCTAGGAAGTTATGCCAAGGGTGACATGTGTGAACTGTGAATGTTCGGTTCTGGGCCATGTGTGTCTCACTCGTTGCCAACGTAATGCCTAAGTTTATCGAACTTCACAATAAACAAAGCCCCCCCCCGACCCTTTGACCTCTGTTGCAAAATTGAAATGTCTTAATTTGGAAGGGTGTCTTGTGGGCTTATGTAATAGTTGTCTCCTTCCCCCTCCTCTGAAAACTCACATAGGTTGTCAGTGTTCCAGATTATTGTGTGCATAAAATACTAGGAAATAGCCAGGCTCGGTGGCTCAGCCTGAAATCCCTCGCCTGAGGAGGCTGAGGTGAGTGGATTGCCTGAGCCTGTGGGTTCGAGACCCGCCTGGGCAACTTGGCGAGACCTCATCTCTACAATAAATCAAAAAATGAGCCGGGTGTGGTAGCGCGCGCCTGTAGTTCCAGCTACTTGGAAGGCTGAGGCGGAAGGATCGCCGGAGCCCAGCAGGTCGAGGCTGCGGTGGCCGGGAGCGGCCACTGCACTGCGACAGAGTGAGACTCCAACTCAAAAAAAAAAAAAAGATACTAGGAAATAAACCTGTAGATATTGGCAGGGCGTATTTAGTGTTGAGCTTTAAGTGTTTTTGACTTTTAGATATGACTTCTGTCTTCAAGGCTCTCTCTCCCCCGAAACAGTACGTGGGTTTTTAGGAGGGAGCTGGTTGGTAAGTGGGGACTTGTGTGCACTGGTGTGTGACCCTGAACTTCTGTTGTCACTCACTCCCTGGGCTTCCCTGCTGGGAATGGAGTTTGCTTTGTGATCACTGCCTTTTCTCTTAGACAACAGACTCTGTGCCATCTTTCCACTTTTAGGAGAACGTGACAAAGTAGATTTTAGAGCTGTAAAGGAATAATACTAGCTTTGAGTTTATTTTTAAATGAAATAGCTTTATTTTCTTTCTTTTTCTTTTTTTTCTTGTGAGCCAGAATCTCACTGTCACCCAGGCTGGAGTGCAACGGCACACTCACGGCCACTGCAGCCTCGACCTGCTGGGCTCAGGCGACCCTTCCTCCTCAGCCTTCCAAGTAGCTGGAACCACAGGTGCACATCCCCAAGCCCAGCTAATTTTTTTATTGATTGTAGAGATGAGGTCTTGCCAAGTTGCTCAGGCTGGTCTCGAACCCCTGGGCTTAGGCAATCCTCTCATCTTGGCCTCCCAGAGGGCTGGGATGACAGGCGTGAACCACTGTGCCTGGCCCCAAAACCCTTTTGATTCATTGAAATAATGGGCCCTTCTCAGTAACTGGAAGTATGAACTGTATTAGCCCAAACAATTTTAATTGCTTTGGTAAATGGTTGAAAAGCAAGTTGTGGTGGCCTGTCTGGGGGCTGGGGGAGGGGAGTGGCTGATAACTGGCTACCAGATTTCCTTTGGGTGTGATGAAAGTATTCTGAATTAGCTAGTGGAGTTGGTTACACACTGTGGATGTGTAAATGCCACTGAATTGTACAGTTCGAAATGGTAGAAGTAGTAACTATGTATTTTACTACAACAGTATACAAAGTATGTCTAGCTTTCAGTTTGAGAGCTAACATTAGTGCCTCAGGGCTTTCATGTGCTGCCAGATACACTGAGGAAGGTGTGGCGGGGGGTGGGGGGAAATCTGTGAGTTGACTCACCCACACACCAGCAGGAAATGCACCTCCATGTCTGGTTTATGGTGGATTGCCATGGTGGCTGGCTACTTCTGTCACCTTGGACTATGGGACTGTCTTCCTGGGCCAGGGTGGTATGCTCACAGTTGCTTCGTTTAGCTTCTGCTGGGACTCGCCCCGGCTGGTTTTGAGCTACCCTCAATGAGTCTCAGCCTTTAGGAGGGTCTATTCAGGTATGTACTCACATTTTCCTGAAAAATTCCTAGAATATCCGGTGCACTCAGTTTCATCTAGTCTTTGGCCCACGTGATAACATAAATCGCTGCTTCAAAATCTTGAAGAGGGGAGGGCACAGTGGCTCACGACTATAATCCCAGCACTTTGGGAAGCTGAGGCAGGAGGATCACCTGAGCCTAGGAGTTTGGGACCAGCCTATGCAACATAGCAAGATCTTGTCTCTACAAAAAAAAAAAAAAAAAGATAAAAATTAGCCGAGCAAGGTGGTGTGTGCCTGTAGTCCCAGCTACTCAGGAGGAGGCTGAGGTAGGAGGATGGCCTGAGCCCAGGAGGTCGATGCAGCAGTGAGCTATGATTGTGCCACTGTAATTGGGTGACAAGAGTGAGACCCTGACTCAACAAAAAAAAAATTGAAGAATTCAATAAGAGACTGGTTTATGTAATCATAAATGCATAAAAACCAAATTATGTATGCAGTGTCTTTACCAAATCCTTTTGAGGGCTCTAGGCTGCTTTTTAAAAAAGTCTAAAATGAGACAGCAAATGCATTTTTATGCACCTGTGTGATGCATCGGCCTGTGGGATGACCACAGTGCTCTCCCAGCAGAAAACGTGACGGTGAGATTCAGGATTGAGGAAGGGCAGCGCTGACTCTGGTCCTGGGCAGCTTAGCCCCCAGGTCTGGTTCCTTGTCTCCAGAATGTTGAGTTCCAACTGGGTGGCCGGGCTTGTCCAAACATGATTTATTTCTTTCTTCTTCTTTTTTTTTTTTTTTTTGAGTAAGAGTCTCACTTTGTTGCCCAGGCTGGAGTGCAGGGGCAGGCTCATGGCCACCACAGCCTCGACCTGCTGGGCTCAGGCAATCCTGCCTCAGACTTCCAAGTAGCTGGAACCACAGGGTCAGGCAATCCTTCCACCTCAGCCTCCTGAGTAGCTAGGACTACAGGTGTATGTCACCACGCCTATCTAATTTTTTGACTTATTGTAGGGATGCGGTCTTGCCATTTTGCTCAGCCTGGTCTTGAACCCTTGGAATCAGGCAATCCTCTCACCTCCACCTCCCACAGTGGGATTACAGGTGTGGGCCACTGCACCTGGCAGCATTTGGTATTTTTTTTTGTGATTCTTCTCTGGCCCAGCAGTGACTACGTGTGGAAAGGGGCAGTTGAGATTATTTGGGTAAAATAACTAAAGCTGTTGAGTCAAGGTTTTATTTTTGCCTGAATTGTCCAGATAGGCTTCTTAAGTGGCTCACGTTGATTTAATTATTATCTTTGTTTCCTGGTAATTTTGCTTCACAGTAAGAGATTTTGGAAGGATCAAGCCACCTGCTAGTCCCTGCAGTGTGAGACAATGACAATGTTGCAGGAGGATCCTTAGAGCTGGAGCAGCTTGGAGGGGTGGTGTGAACCCGGCACTATTTTTTTTTTTTTTTTTTTTAGTTGGAGTCTCACTCTGTCTCCCACACTGGAGTGCAGCGGCACACTCCCGGCCACCGCAGCCTCGACCTGCTGGGCTCCGGCAATCCTTCCGCCTCAGCCTTCCACGGAGCTGGAACTACAGGCGTGCGCTCTCACGCCCGGCTTATTTTTTTAAATTTATTCTAGAGATGAGGTCTCGCCAAGTTGCCCAGGCGGTCTTGAACCTGCAGGCTCAGGCAAATCACTCACCTCGGCCTCTCCAAAGCATGGGATTACAGGCTGAGCCACGGAGCCTGGCTGAACCTGGCACTTTTTATGCCAGCATTCAGGAAACTAGTTGAGAAAATTGTCCTTAAGCAGAAGTGGTTCTGTCCCATGGATTCCCAGCGGACACCAACAGCTTCCTACTCCAGGTGGATGGGGACGGGTTATAGGTTGGTGGCCAAGTAGGTGGGACCACAGGTGTGTGCCATCATGCCCTGCTAATTAAAAAAAAATTTTTTTTTTTAATAGAGACAAGGTCTTGCTATGTCACCCAGGCTTCTGGGCTCATGCAGTCCTCCCACTTCAGCCTCCCAGGATGCTAAGATTACAGGCTCGCCTGGATTTGGATATCTTGAAATATGTGTTTTTCAGGGACTAACCTTTATGAGCTTGAAGAAATGGGTGTACCAAATCCTAACAGAGACGGGAAAAGAGTAATTAGAACTTTAATTTCGGTTCCTCACCTTCCACCCCCCTCCCACCCCCTTCTTGCAGTCGTGTGGCTTTGAGAAAAGTCTGAAGGTCGGGCATGGTGGCTCACGCCTATAATCCCAGCACTTTGGGAGGCCGAGGTAAGAGGATTGCCTGAGCTCACAGGTTCAAGAGGGCAATTTGGCGAGGCCTCATCTCTACAGTAAACCAAAAACTTAGCCGGGCATGGTGGTGCATGCCTGTAGTTCCAGCAACTTGGAAGGCTGAGGCGGAAGGATCGTCTGAGCCCAGCAGGTCAAAGCTGTGGAGGCTGTGAGTGTGCCACTGCACTCCAGCCTGGGCAACAGAGTGAGACTTCAACTTAAAAAAGAAAAAAGAAAAATGTCAACTGAGCATTGTGGTCACAAGAACATCTCGCTGTGCCGTTGGCCATCTAGTGGTGAGAGGGAGTGATCACAGGCATTTTAAAAAGTAGGAGAGCTTGCTGGGAAGTCCGGGATTACAGTCCATTGTTT